CATATCTTTTGAAGGTGCTGGGTTGGGGACTTGCACTGTACCATTGGCCATGTGGGCTCTCACTGCTTTAACCACTGCAGTACCTCCTCTCCCAAGTATTACTATTTTAATAGTAAAGAGCCATTTAACTTTTATCCACTGGTCATTTATCTTTTCAGTAAATATTTAGTGAGAACCTACTACATGTCAGGCATTATAGTAAGTGTTAAGATTGAAGAAGGACAAAGACAAGGCTTGTGTCCTTAAGGGGCTCATAGCCTGATGAGGGAGACGGCCACTTGCACAGATTCTATCTACACAGAGTGGCAGGTTCTACAGGAGAGACTTTTAGGGCCTGTGAAACTACAAGAGAGGGTCACTCTTCCACCTGAGAGTCAGGGAAGACCCCGGAGGCAGATGATGCATGACCTGAGTCCTGAAGGGTGAGTAAGAGGCAAGTGAAGACAAATGGGAAGGGTGATCCATTCAGAGATAATACTATGTGCAAAGCACCAGAGGTGGGAAATAACACAGTACCTGAGAAAGAGCTAGGAGCCATTTGAGCCACAAATTATTAAGTAGAAAGGGAAGGAAATGAGACCAAAGAGGTAGGCAAGGGTCAGATCATTGAGGGGACTGCAGGCTGGAATGAAGGAAGTTGAGGGCATGGGAGGAAGAGAAATGAATGGATTGGAGTGTTATCAAGGGAAGGAGGGCATGGAAATGAATTAGTTTCAGACAGGACTGGACCAGACCTCACTGTCTGAGACCACAGGGAGATAAATATATAGACAGCATGGCAGAAGTTGAGGCCATTGTTATTTTTACTTGAAGGAAACATGTTGAGGAAACCTCCTGAGAGTGTTGAAGAGGGGCTGGAGGATAGTCAAAGATGGTTTAGAATAATCGCCCAATAAAATGAGAGCAGTGACAGACCAGGACTGACCAGCAACAAGACATTTGCAGTTAGCACAGTCGGGTCAAGCAATGCCTGTACGCACATGAACCCTGCAGCACTGTGAGTGAGTAAGTCTAGGGTCCTGTTGGGCGTGGGGCAGGGGGTCTAGAATGAAATGGGGCTCAGACCAGCTGGGAAGACAAGCATGGGTGAGCCCATAGCTTTACTGTTCTACTCTAGCAAAGCAGTAGCCTTAGAGGGCAGGAAGGGGAGGCCAGGCTCACAGCAGGGGCTAAGACCAGAATGCCAGCCCCTGGGTAGCCCTGACCCTTCCTGCAAGCCAGATGTTAAGAGAGACTCCTGAGCAAAGTGCGGCTATAGCCACTGAACCCATAAACTCCCTCTCTAGGGGCCACAAAGGTAATTTAGTGTCCCCGTCTTCAGAAGCGCCTGCATTTATCAGCAGCAGCTGCACAATTCCTGGGTTGTAAATCACCGAGCTTTAGGTGTATTTCTCTTGAGCTGACATCTCCTTATAAATAATATGGGGAATGCTTTTCTTTTCTTGGCAGAAGAATGCTTTTTCCTTCTTCTGCTTTTAGAGTGACCTTCTTTCTCAGTCAAGTTGGAAAAGTCCATGAGGCTCATTCAGTGAGTCCTACCACATGAGGACAGGTGTCCAGGAGTTCTGTTCTCCACCATTACACAGATCTTCCTAGCAGAAAGGATACTTGGATGATTTGGTAATATCTATTCAGATTTAAAATGCAGTGCCCTTTGACCCAGAGAATCATTTACCCATGTGCATAAGGATGTGTGTTTTTTGAATCCTGACAGGTGAACAACAAATATCTGTAAAACACCTGAAAGTGAACTAAGAAGTCTATTGTTAAATACCGCATGGTGTAACTTGAGGATCTTCTGTAGGACTTTAAAAGAATGAGATAGACTTACGCATGCTGGTAAGAAAAGATCTCCAGGGTATATTGGCAAGGGAAAGAAGCACGCTGTAAGAATTTATGAATGTTATATCATATCATATCATATATATATAGTATCATATCACTTGTGTTTTTTAAAAGGTTATACATATGCTATATATTTACTATACAGAGGAAGGTGTGGATGGGCCTATACCAAACTGAAGATGGAGGATCCTTCTTGGAAGGGAGCTACATTTGGGGGTGGGGGACCAAGGGGATTTTTCTGTTGTCTGATATTTTAAGTTCTTGAAGAGAGGGATAACCTTTGTGATAAAAAACAAACAAACAAACAAAAAACAAAAACTAGAAGTTAAGACACCTAAACTCTGAGGCATTCCTTATTCCAAGTTTGGGTAAGAAATTTCCCTCTGTAGACCTCATTTTTTTGCCATCTATCAAGTGAGTGAGTATGTTAGACTGATATAATCCTAGTAGTTCTCTTCAATTCAGAATATGTAGAATCTTCATATATCAAACATTCCAAGGAAGGAGTTCAAAAGATTCAGGGCTTTGTGCAATGGAATCTAGTGCTAAGTAGACAATAATTTATTGTTTTTTGTTGTTGAATAATAAACCTTGGGCAGTTTTAGTATTAAGGACAGCCCAGCTTCTTCCCAGTAAACTGCCAAATGAGTGACCAACATGTATAAATGTCAGAGAGCCATGGCAGAGTTGCAAATATGAATAGAGATGTTGGGGGGGGGATTCAAACCAAGGTTCAACTCCTGACTCTTCACTTCTCTGCTGTGTAACATTGACGGAGTTACCAGCCCTCCCTGAGTCACAATCCATGCTGAGTTGTGACTATTACAGTTAATATTTCTGCTCCAGCTTTGGGGATATAGTCATTTATTCACTAATAAACATTAATTGAGCACTGAATGTGAACCAACCCTGGGGACTCCAACATCAACAAGACAGACAAGGAGACCCTTCTTATGAAGATGTATCTGCCTCACCTCTTGTCCCAGCACTTCCAGGTGCAGGTGGACTTCCCTGGGGCCTTGGAAA